TTTTGGATAAGTCCGAAGGTGAAGGATCTTTAGGGATCGGATTATATGGTCCTTCGTTTAAGAGTTTAGTGACACCATCGATGTAAGTGTTCTTATCCATGACGACTATCTGGCCACCTTTGTCGGCCTTTGAAATGATAATATCCGGGTTAGAATGAATTTCGCGCATTGTAGCTCTTTCTCTCGCAGTTAGATTTGGTTTCAAAGGTTTATTATTGAATTTCACATTATGAGCGATAAGATGCCTAATCATTTCTTTCTGTGAATCTGAAACTTTACTGAACTTGAAAGCTTTTTCGATAGGAGCCAAAATCTTTGGAATCGAGGGTTTACAGGTTTGTGAGAAGTTAAAATTATATTTTAGAATTCTTGTTCTTCTGAAAGACTAACATTAGAAATATTAACTATTGGCTTGATGTTTACAATGGGAAGATTTTTTGAACTACTTGAACTGGAAGACTGTAAAAGAAGTTTTTCGAATTTAACTGCAAGGGTGTTTTTATGACGGTTAACTGCATTCTCCGTTCTAGACCAAGACTTTTGTTCAAGGGCAGTGAATTTTGGATATGATTTAGCGAGTTCCAGATGAAGCTTATAGAGTTCATGTTCAATTTTGGACAATTGTTGACGTGTATCCCTTATCACGGACCGAAGTAAGGCAAGCTTGCAATTTAACAGAATTCTTGAAACGCGACTCGAAAGTTTTTGATTAGTTTTGATTTGAATAAAATTGGGGATCAATTTTTTACATTTACATTTAAGTAAAAAGTCAAGATGATTCAGGAATTTTTGCCGTTTCAGGCGTAATTTAGTGAAACGATTAACGGATGAAGGCATGATAAACAATGCAGAAAATCAAACTAAATTAACTGAGCAATAATAAAGTACACACAAAACAGCAGAAAAATCCCTCACTGAAATGAATAGAAAAAAAACGTTTGTAAGCAAAATGAAATCAGACAAGCAAAGCACAATATCCAAAAAAATTGCAAAATTACTCAAAAACAATCACAAAATTGGATTTTCTAGAGGCATTTCACATTCATAAAAATCTTTCTGTTCTAGTTAACGATCCTAATTCCAATCCAAATTTGCCTTCGGCTTTTAGAGAAATTATGTTTTAGTTCTGGTTTCGCCAACAGATGGCGCCACTTGCTTATTCTTGTCCAGGCTTTCTTATCTTATCTAATCATTATTTCCTATCTTGTTCATTTGCGGTTTTGCAGCTGAAGATGATGGTTCGGTAAAACCATCGAAACTAGTCCTGTGAAAATTTTGTAGGTATAACGCTGATTTTTGTTGTTTGACTTCTGAATTAGTATTTATTCGGCGGCGTGTTATTGTGTCTTAATTATAGAAGCCCCAAACAGGCTTACATTTTGCTTTCTTTTTTGCACGTGGTGTGGCCGCCATTTTGTGATTGTAGGAGTTTCGGTGAGTACATTTTTGCAATTTTCAAGTTATGTTTATGTTTTGTACATTTGGATATTGTGCTTTGCTTGTCTGATTTCATGCATTTTGCTTACAAACGTTTTGTTTTCTATTCATTTCAGTGAGGGATTTTTCTGCTGTTTTGTGTGTACTTTATTATTGCTCAGTTAATTTAGTTTGATTTTCTGCATTGTTTATCATGCCTTCATCCGTTAATCGTTTCACTAAATTACGCCTGAAACGGCAAAAATTCCTGAATCATCTTGACTTTTTACTTAAATGTAAATGTAAAAAATTGATCCCCAATTTTATTCAAATCAAATCTAATCAAAAACCTTCGAGTCGCGTTTCAAGAATTCTGTTAAATTGCAAGCTTGCCTTACTTCGGTCCGTGATAAGGGATACACGTCAACAATTGTCCAAAATTGAACATGAACTCTATAAGCTTCATCTGGAACTCGCTAAATCATATCCAAAATTCACTGCCCTTGAACAAAAGTCTTGGTCTAGAACGGAGAATGCAGTTAACCGTCATAAAAACACCCTTGCAGTTAAATTCGAAAAACTTCTTTTACAGTCTTCCAGTTCAAGTAGTTCAAAAAATCTTCCCATTGTAAACATCAAGCCAATAGTTAATATTTCTAATGTTAGTCTTTCAGAAGAACAAGAGAGAATTCTAAAATATAATTTTAACTTCTCACAAACCTGTAAACCCTCGATTCCAAAGATTTTGGCTCCTATCGAAAAAGCTTTCAAGTTCAGTAAAGTTTCAGATTCACAGAAAGAAATGATTAGGCATCTTATCGCTCATAATGTGAAATTCAATAATAAACCTTTGAAACCAAATCTAACTGCGAGAGAAAGAGCTACAATGCGCGAAATTCATTCTAACCCGGATATTATCATTTCAAAGGCCGACAAAGGTGGCCAGATAGTCGTCATGGATAAGAACACTTACATCGATGGTGTCACTAAACTCTTAAACGAAGGACCATATAATCCGATCCCTAAAGATCCTTCACCTTCGGACTTATCCAAAATAAAAACTGCGATCAAATCTTCGCAAATCATTTCAAGCAACTTAAAACATTCGCTTATCCCATCTGTTGCGAATTGTGCCAGATTATATGCTCTTCCCAAAATTCATAAAAGTGGTATTCCTTTCCGCCCTATTGTATCAAATTTAGGTACTGCCTCGTATCCTTTAGCTAAATATTTAGTTTCTAGATTTTCCACTCTATTAGACAATAACATTTACACCATAAAAAATTCAATAGAGTTTGTAAAAAAGGTTAAAAACATTTCTCCTAGTAATTTACTCATGGTTTCTTTTGATGTAAAATCATTATTCACCAATGTCCCAGTGGAGGGTGCATTAAGATGTCTAGAAACCAGACTTCGCGAATTTCATTTCTCTTGCATCGAAATTGATGAGCTAATTTCTCTCACTCAACTCTGTTTGAAACAAACACATTTTGTTTTCCAAAATAAATATTACAAGCAAACTGAGGGATTAGCCATGGGAAGCCCCCTCAGTCCCATCCTGGCTGATATCTACATGCATTATTATTATGAATCAAAATTGTTTGAAACTTTAAACTTCCCGGCATGGTTCCGCTACGTAGACGATACTTTTACCCTGTTTGAAGGTAATAAAGATGATTTAAATAAAGTTCTTTCAACAATGAATTCTATTGATCCTGCTATTCAGTTCACTTTTGAACTTGAGACTTGCAATTCTCTTCCGTTTCTCGACATTCTGGTCACACGTAACACATCCAACTTCAGTACTACAGTTTACCGTAAACCTTCATCGGTTTGCCTTCCACCACACTTTAAATCATGTCATCCGACTAAACAAAAGTTAGCTTCATTTTATTCCTATGTTTTCCGTGCTCTTCAAGTTTGCTCCTCCAAACTAGCCCTTGATGAAGAACTAAATTATTTAAAAGCAATAGCTATTGACAGGGGCTTTTCACCCAACATTATTAATCAAGCAGTTAAAAAATTCTCATCTCAACACACTAAAAGCCACACTCTTATTTTAGGAGATTATAAAAATTCTGTTGTCATTCCCTTCTTTCCATCAATTAGCTATAAAGTTGCACATATTTTGCAGAAATTTAACTTTCGGGTTGTTTTTTTCTCCCATCAATAAAATTCCAACTTCTATACTCAAGGACCCCATTCCGGATATGAATTCCTGGGGTATTTATAGGATTCCTTGCCAGTGTGGTTTAATTTACATTGGCCAAACTAAGAGAGCCTTAAAATTTCGCGTCAAAGAACATGAGGCATATGTTAGAAAAAAGGAAACACAGAAGTCTTCTGTTGCTCAACATTGTTGGTCCGAAAATCACACTTTCAATTTTTCTGCTGCCAAAATTATTCAAAAAACATCTTCCATTGGAGAACTGGATTTTCTAGAGGCATTTCACATTCATAAAAATCTTTCTGTTCTAGTTAACGATCCTAATTCCAATCCAAATTTGCCTTCGGCTTTTAGAGAAATTATGTTTTAGTTCTGGTTTCGCCAACAGATGGCGCCACTTGCTTATTCTTGTCCAGGCTTTCTTATCTTATCTAATCATTATTTCCTATCTTGTTCATTTGCGGTTTTGCAGCTGAAGATGATGGTTCGGTAAAACCATGGAAACTAGTCCTGTGAAAATTTTGTAGGTATAACGCTGATTATTGTTGTTTGACTTCTGAATTAGTATTTATTCGGCGTGTTATTGTGTCTTAATTAAACATATGAACTTTAAGCTGTTTTTGCAATTCCTTTTACAGTTAGGCACTACATAGCACTGTGACACAGTAAATCTCTATTTGATATAATAAGAGTAATTTGTTTAAAAAATATATATATGCAATGCAAAGTCAATATCTAGAATCATTTTAATTTTACCGATTTTGGAAATTTCCAGGTTTTAGATCACTGCAACTGTCTAGTTAAAAGGTGTTTAAAAGTGATGTGCAAGACTGTCAGTTAGTTGGAAGAAAAATCGCATTCAAAGTATACCTGCTTTCTTTTGTTATTATATTCCCTATTCATAGACTTTCTACAGGGAGGGACTTTTTACTATTATTTTATTTATTTTTTGGGTAGTGTTCCAAAGTTCTGGATATTACATCATTCTCGATATTGGATGCCTGAATTCTGTGCTGTAGATAATACTAATGAGGGAAGTTGATAATACAAACACAATGTGAACAACACAGTTAATTGTGTCTTTGACCTTCACACCATACTCTCACAGAGAGAGTAGAATGGCTTGATTAAGGCCGGAGCCAGAACCCATGCAACCAGTGCGGCTGCACCAGGGGCATAATTTAGTGATGGCAAAAATTTTAGATTTTAGAGAAGTACCGAATTGCAAAATTTAGGAATGGTATAAAATTTTTTTGAATTTAGATGATGCACCGCACAGTGGAATTAAGACCCACAGAGATTGCACCAGGTGGCAAAATGCCTAGCACTGGCCCTCAGCCTGGTATGTATTGTTATTTACTATGAATAAATTCAAATTTCTATTTTAAATATAGAAAATTTTCTCTTTTTATTCAAGGGCTTGCCAGAGACATGGTCGTTGTTGCTAAAAAATTCTAACATCACTAAATTAGAGCAAAAAGAAAATCCGCAGGCTGTACTTGACGTTTTGAACTGGTATGATGCCTCCACAAAAGATACTGAAGATTCTAAATACATGACCATTAATAAAACATTAGGTGAAACATTTCTCTTTTATTAAAAAAATTTTATTGTGTTATTTCAGTGTATTTGTAGCATTATAGTATTTATAAGTAATGCTTTTTTATTGTGTGACCTTTAAGCAGGCTTTTGAAAATGTTCAGGGCAAATTTTGGCTGATTTTGGCATTTTTTTTTTCTTTTCTTCATTTGTAGCAGTTGGAAGATAACTGTGTATAATTACTGTAATATTATTTCTTTACTTATACTAATTAAGTTCTTAATTTTAGTAATTTTAATCTTATTAATGACTTTTGTATATTCTCAGTATAATTATTAATTACATTAACGCAAATAATTTATGTTTGCAGTTTTTTGTTAATGAATCGAGTTTCACTGATGAGCTGAAATGTTTATGTTTAATCAGTAGTCATTTTCAACATATCAGATTTTATATCAAATTTTCAATAGCATATTTAACATCTATGAGTTACTGCAGCACCAAGGAATTTGTTGTGTAAAAAATATTCTTTACTGTTTTTTGTTTTTCATAATTTGTTATAAAATAATTTGCTCTCTGTGTTTGTAATAACATTTGTGAGTTAAACCACTGCAGAATTTTTAGCCTTATATCGCTATAAATTAGCTATTGAGTGTAAGAAAAAGCCATTGAAATAGTTACTATTAGTTATGATATAGTTACTATTAGAATATCCCTCTTTTTTGCTGGACTTACTCCGTTTGCATAATTAAATTGTGTAAGAAAATCATGGATTTACCATGGCTAACATAGCAGTTAATTTTATGTTAAGCTGTGGCTAAAAGAAATTGGCATATAAATAAGAATTTTAGAAAGTGCTGTATAAGTAGACTGATTTATTAGTGACATTAGTATTCTTAAAGCTAACAGTTTTTTTTAATGGATTTTGTTGGGGGTGGAATGTGGTGGATAGTCAATCTGTTGGTCATACTTCCTTGTAAGCCTCCATTTTTATTATATTTTATTGTGTAAAGAAATGTAATACAGTCAAAAATCGTTAATTCGGACACCCATAATCCGGACCTCAAAGCTACAAACTTTCTGCGCATGCGTCTTGTTGACGCATGCGCTTAAGACCTTTACGGCTGCGAATATGCGTGTGCACAAAATACGTTTACGAGTGCGCGTTTAATGTATAACGGACAGTATAAGCTAAGCTAAAATTATCTAATTATCTATTTCAGTTAATGTTGCAGATTGCGTTGTTCCTTAATCTTCGAATTGGATCCGGCTTATTATTTTTTGCAGACGATTAGAACAATTTTATAAAAGTAAGCTTGAACTTTCGATTATGTTAAATAGAATTTCCGATATATATTTACTAATATGTAAAGGATCTACAAAGCGAAGTATGTTTCATCTCGATGTACTCCATCTTTGATATGATTTAAATCAAATTCCTCGTCATTATAATTCGCTTCTGATAGCGAAGAAAGTAACAGAATTTATTGAAAACGAAAAAATTTTGATTGACAAATTAGTCGGTAGACACAGCAATTATAGGACTTGAACAGCGGAACCTTGTAACTGAGCAAGAAAATTATGTCTGCTTATAGAATTAAAGAGAATGTATTATCATATAAAAAACAAAGCAACTTAAGCGACTTACATTGAAAGAAATGTTTAATAAAGTAAACAAATAAATATTAAACTTTTTTTTTTTTTTTTTCTAAATTTTGGTACCCTTTAGATCATAATTGTTCTTTATTTCATAAATTACGGTTTCATATTTTTAATTTTATAATTTCTGCATGCCATCTTACCAGATTTAAACTGATGATCTATAATCCGGAAAAATCGATAATCCGGAATTGCCAAAGTCCCAACGAGTCTGGATTAACGACTTTTGACTGTATTAAGTTCTTTAAAAATTTTTTTTCTTTAACACGAATTATTTAGCTGCTGAGAAGCTCTTCTAAAATATTTGCAAGCCTATTAACAGCCACTTTAATACCAGTAGGTATGGTATGTAAACTGCGGATTATTTTAAGGCAGCAAAAAAGATTGCTTGCATTCGTTGAAGTTTAAAGAACATTTTTATCAAATTTCTTAATAGAAATGTCATTTACAAGGTATGTTGTTGCTGCATGTCCCTGTGTTCAGAAAAACAACCATCAAAACTGCTTTATGAAAAGTTTTGAGTAATGTCAGGATGCATGCTGTTATTTCATATTTCGTTGAGAATAACCAGGGAAGATGAATTTCAAGTATTTGTAATTCTCTTTTTGTGTAATTAAGTTCATAAGAATATTTTGAGATTGTTAGACTTTTAAGATCTCTCTTTCATTAAGACATCATCCTATCACAAATATTAATGCTTTATCCCGGATTCAAGTCTCTCCTTTAGCAAGTTAATTGCTCTTTTGTAATTATTATTTTTGTAATACCAGTTTAAGTGAAAGAAGTAACTTCTTCATCATAATAATGTATCCATTCAGCTTTGTTAGCAGTGCTAGATAAATTAGATTAAATGATACTTTAATCCATTTTCTCTGACACAGCCAGAGGATATTCTATTCTTAATAATGAGTGTACTTTCAATCCAGCCTCTTAAGTAGCGAGCTAGCAGCCGACTATTTCATAATTTGAAATCAGTTGATGATGATATCTTGAGTAGTTGATGGTAGTAGTACCATTATAAGGCTTCTACTCACCACTGTACAACCCATCATTACACATAGATCATAGCAGACATGATTTTATAGATGATAGCAGACATGATTCTTTGTTTTCTTTTTGCATCTCAGTGTTGCTGATGTTAACTCATGTGCCCTTTGATGCATCAAGATTTACTTATAGGATCCTCAGTGTGTTTTAGAGTACACATGTAGTGTAGCTTGCAAACTATGTTGATACCCTTAGGAAGAGCATGGTAGGGACGGGCAAATGACAAGAAAACTACCCCTTATTTGTTCTCAGGATGTAAGTGTTCTCTGGGCTGATTTCAATCGCCTCATCCCAGGTTAAAAACTTGCAAGTCATTTCTCATTAAGAATGAGGAACTTAAGACTCTTTATCTGTTCTCTGCTATTTACCAGCCACTTATATTTACTAGTTTCTCTCCTCCTGAGTGTAAATTTTCACATGATAGCCTTACAGTATATACTTTTCTAAAGAAAAAGGAAGTCATTCTGGAAATTCTAAGAACTTATTCTTTATAAATTATTTACTTTTTTACTTCCTTGTACGAAGTAAAAAGGAAGTATTGTAATTGCAAAATATTTCGGGTATCACATTTCAATGAAAATATTGATTTTGACCACTATCTAATGCAATTTAATGATGTTTTTGTGTGACATCCGCAAGTAAGGACAGAATAAAGGACTCTTTTCCCCCCAAAAAATTATAAAACTGATTTAAAATGAAGTCTGAAGAGAATTTTTTGTGGCGTCTGTGCGTACATATGTATCTTGCATAACTCAAAAACGAGTAGCCTCAGAACGATGAAATTTTGTATGTAGGACTGCTGTAATGTAGATGTGCACCTTGTATTTTGGTTGCAATCAGCAGCACCAAAAGTACATAAATATCTGTATATATATATATATATATATATCCACTCTGTTACTCGTCTCAGTGATCTCAGTTTCTTTATTCTGATATGTTTGTAAATTGTGCATTTTTTGCTTTAAAAATAATTGAATTATGTTTTTTTTTATCTTCTGGTTAAGGTTTTTATGCCTTTATTAAATCTTCAAGCAATATTTGTACAGTTATCAACAATTTAAAAGCTGTTTAAGTGTGGTGAAGCCTAATTTTTAAATAACATGGTGGACATGTTTGTTTACATTTGAATCAGCAGAATAGTAGATTTGTTGTCAATTTAGAGAGACTAAGCTTTGCAACAACAAAGACAACACCTTCATTTATTATTGCAAATTAAATCATGCTTAATCCTTTCTGAAATTTTTTCGATGAAATAAGTGTTTAAGATTTATTTTGTGATTTTTAATATAGATGTTTTGAGTTTTTATGTATTTTTGCCTTTCGCGAAGTGAGAACTGAATTAATTGAATAAGAAATATTAAATTGTTTGTGAAAAACTGGTTCTTTTTTGTTTTGTTTCCTTACTTTCTTTTTATACAATGTTCTAGATTTATTATAGTATTTGTATAGAACATGTGGCAACAATTAGATAATTCTTCAAATGATGTAAATTTTGTGCATTCCGAGTTATAATATAAACGAAGTATAACACTGTTAAGTGAACCTAGCGCTAGTGTGTCACTATAAACAAATATAGTGAATTTTAAAGAGTGCATTTATTCTATTGTGGCTTATGCGCTATCGACGAAGTAGATTTAATTAAATCCAATAAGTTTAAATGAAAGGCAAGAAAAAGTGCGTAATTTAATATTCTGTACGAGGAAGTCATGTGGTGTACACATCAGATTATTTTATCTAAGTATAAATGCCGTCACCATCTTTTCTGAGGGTTTGGCTGGAAGTGATGTACCCTCTGGTGTTACACTTTTTTAAGAAACATTTTGAAGGGTCTTAACAAATGTTGATGCTGAAACTGAAGCTTTTATATTTAATAACCCCAGTTTTAGCATCAAGATTTATTTTAGAGTCCCCCCTTTCCCCCAGTGCTTCTTTTTAGGTGGAAGGAGTGAAAATGCTCTCTAGTCTTCTGGCTGAAAATTCACTTTCTAGTGGATTCCTAGCCACTGCAGTGCTCCATTAAATGAGAAAGCTTGATAATAATAATAATGAGCTTTCACAGCCAAAAATATATGGAGGATAAAATAGCTGCCTTTTTTCTTTGCCTTGTAACCAAGCTGTCTCTCGATAGTTATAGAAATTTTTGTAGAAGTTTTTATAGAAATTTGTTGAAATCCAGAATGTTCAGGATACTGCAAAAACAATTTTAACGTCTCCTCCTTTTTTCCCTTCCATTACACTGTGCCATCCTTGTGTTGTTTTCGCTATTAATTTTAGACTTTCTGTTAGATGTGGTTGCACCAAATTAATGTGGCTGATTTCCGTTTGTTTTTCTGAAGAATCTATGAAATTCAATTATATTGCTCTCCTTATGATTGTTACTGTGACAGTGTTTACTTTGACTACTTTTTATTGTTGCAAAAAGGCTCATGGTTGATACCTGATGCCCTGTTGTAGGAGCAAAAACTTCTGATACCTGATGCCCTGTTGTAGGAGCAAAAACTTCTGATTTCATCATTTAAATATGTTGGATTAGCAGGTCCATGATTTAATTCAACCAATTGAGCATGCAAGGTCAAAGTTACTTGATCTATTTTCACACAGAATAAACTTTTGAGAAAGGAAACAAGGGAAAATGAAGTGATGTTGAATAATCTGTAAATGGCAAATAACATTATAATCTAAGTGCATTTGTTATACATTTATGAACCAAGATAACTGGAATTCAAAAAGCTATTTTTCCACCCAATATGCTGTTAAAATATCGTTAGTTCTTTAAACCTGTTAGTAAGTAAAGTTCATTGAATGAGTTTTTAAGAATTTTTCCCATGGATAAATCAAGTTTACAAGCACGGACTAGTCAGAGAACTAATTTATTGTCCTTACCTGAAAACATTATAATTATTTTCTGCAATTGAATTCTACTCTCTCTTTTTCTTATTTAACTTTTAAAATCTTGCAGTTTAAGAAAATTTGTCTTATGTTTATGCAGTTACTAATTGTAGCCATTATCCACTGATCTCCTTGTTTTTCTATAGCTGAACTTGTGAGCCTTTGGTGTCCAAGTAGGTGATTTTCATTTTTTTATTTTATTATTTCAAGAATTTACATAAAATTATATGATTTTGGGGGCTGGAACAATTTTTATGGTATAAAATTATAATCTTTATTAATAAATTATAAAAATTGCATATAGATCTTGTTATAGATCTTGAGGTTGCATGGAGAGTCTTGTTGTTAGCTTAATTTTCAAAGAACTATATATGTTCAAACCAACTTTTATATATTTAAATGATAATCTTTATTAATAAATCATAAAAGTTACATATTTATTGAAACTTGCTTTAGGTCCTTTCATTTGCAGTGTAGTACCAAAATAACAGGAGTCTAAATTGGGCCAAATAGTAAAAATGAGTTAAATCTGGGAATTCAGAAGAAGCAAAAAAAATTATTTTGTATTTTTGTGCATAGTTAAGTTTTGCATCATTGTAATGAAGCAGCTAAAATTGCGTGTGCTGTTTAGATTTAGCTCTTTGAGAGCAGAAAAGAAAACTTTAAAACAGGACTCAGTATATTATTTAGAGGCAGATGTTTGTTTATCATTTGTGAATTCAATAATTTTTTCATTGACTGATAGGTTTTGTTTTTTGGTGTTATTGGATTATTTTCATCTTTGAAGCAGTTTGAGATTTTGTGTATGTAGCGTAATAATGAAGCCAAGCTTGTCATCTGCTATAATCGATGATATCTAGACTGTTGCTCAGATTTTTTTTCAAGTTAGCTGATGTCATACAAATTAATGGCACAGTATATGCATTTTTAGATGCTCAGGCAGAATCATATTTACCATTCACATACTTATAAAGTTCCATAGTTTTAGTGGCTCTTCAGTGAATTTACAGTTAATTGGGCAGTTTCAGTATGCTAGCGGCTTGATAGTTGCAAGAGTATAATAATATAATTAATATAAATCTGCATAATTAATATAAAATTAATTATTCTGTAACATTGGAAGTACAGCATTGTATAGTTTAGATGATCCTTATCTATATAAATTGAAGGCATTTATATAAAAACTCTCAAAAATAGTTATTTTTATGAATTCAGAATATTTTAATATCATTGCCAAAAGATTGATATTTTTAATTGCTGGTGCTGGTTGAGCCTAATAAATCTGAAAACAACTAATGTTAAATAAGTCAAAAAAGAACTATGTTAAAGTGTAAAGGAATCTGTAGGATGATCTTGAAACAAATATGAGGTCACTCAAAAATATAAAAATAGAATCTGAAACTTATAGATAGTTATTATGCCCAATTCTTTAGAAATTAATTTCTGAAGGTAATGAATTTAGATTTCTGTTGAAAATGATCATGTAAAAATTTTAATGTTCAAGAATTGTTATAATTTATTAAGAATGAAGTTAAATGCCACAAAATTGCACCAGTGTTGCATGAGCAGTATATGCATATGAGGGCACAAAATACAAATTTCTCTAAATTTAAAATGAATGAGAAAAAAGGTAATGGATATGGCATCCAGCCATATTCCATTACCTTTTTTTCATTTTACCAGGTATTTCTCCCATCAGTGGTTAGCAATGCTGACTGCAGTTTTGATGGGCCCTGGTTCCAAATCCTGGGGAAGTCATGGATGTTCATAAGTTTGTAGTGTCTGTAGCAAAGTGGCACTTAAAGTATACAGTGAGCCACAACTTTTACTTGAGAGGTTGATAATAGGGGAAGAAAAGTGGGAGACCCTTGGACTGCCTTTCAGCTTCCCTTCCAGGTGTTCTTCCTCAAAATTAGAGTAGAATTATGCAATTAGTGTAGAGGAACTATATTTGTATGGCCAGTTTTGCACTTCTGGTGTCCCACCCACTTCTGCCTTTACCTTATTTTAGTGTTCTTTACTTATAAAGCTTTTTTACAGTAGATAGTTCAGTGGCTATTAGGAATTTAAATGGTTTCATAATGTACACTAGCAAAAAAAGGGGGGATAGTTCTATATCTTCCGTTCTACTGGACCGATTGATGAAATTAAAATTGTGTTTTCCATGTCTCGAAAGCACGACTTAAGATATATATTATATTTACGAGGGCTATCCAGAAAGTAGATTACGTTTTGGAATAAAAAAATAAACAAAGTATAGGAAACAAATTTTATTATATACAGATGAAAGCCACACTCAAATACTACTTTTCTACATAGTCACCATACAAATTAAGGCATTTATCGTAGCGATGTACGAGCTTGGAAATTCCTTCGTCGAAAAATTCGGCCGCCTGCGCCTTCAACCACTTCGTTACCTCTTCTTGCCTTCCATCTTGCACAAAACTTGTGGTAACCAAGCTTTTCGCTGATGTGATTTCGTGCAACAAACTTCGCGAAATTGTGGAAAACTCAAAGAAAGTTCCGTTATTGTGAAATTTCGATTTTCACGGACTTTAGCATCGACTTTTTCGAGAAGTTCGGCGGGTCACTATGCTGGGTCTCCCACTTCGATCTTCGTCGTGAACATTGGTTCGGCCATTTTGGAATCTTATGACCCACTGACGCACTCCACCTTCAGTGATAATGTTGTCCCCATACACTTCACGAAGCTGCCGATAGATTTCTATCGGTTTACAGTTTTTTGCAGTCAGAAACCTTATTACTGAGCGCACCTCGCAGCTCGCGGGATTTTCAATTAACGCAGACATTTCAAACCGTCACAGTATCTGAACGGAGCACAGCACGAACCTCTCACTAGCACGGCTAGATGCAGACTGAGCTGCGCAACGCTCTGACCCCAAGATGGCTGCGCTAGCCCCGCCCCTAGCGGACACAGACGGAAACGTAATCTACTTCCTGGATGGCCCTCGTATATATAGCATCTAACAGGTTCTAACAGGTACTTTGACACAAAATTGGACCTTTTTCTTAAATGACGTACCAATTTTTTTCCATATTTCTATTCTACGACTCAAATTATGCCTAGATATTACATTTTGTAATTTTTGGTGAGAAATTTATGGAGAAATTTAAAAATTTATCTTGGTGCATTTTTTTTTCAGTTTGCGCCAAGAATAGTTCACTTGGGGGAACTTCTTAATTTATAGAAACATATTTTCCTTTCCTTTTTTTTTTTTTCATTGTCCTTGAGCAAAAAAAAAATCATCTTTCATAATTTTGAATAATTTTAACAAGTGCGCAATAAATGTCAATTCGCATTATCTTAAGAAATTTTGAATAATAAACTCTAATTTTTTGCAAGTTTATGCTTAGAAATACATCTATTTAAAGATGATGGCAAAAATTGTATAGGTTATAATTCAGATTATTTTTGAAAAATTTATAAAAAATTATTTAAAAATACGAAATTTAAAAATAAATCATAAAAAATTGGCAAATTTTTTTTGGAATGAACCTAAATTTTGAAATATGAAAGGAAGATCAAATAAGGTTTATAAAAGAAGAGACTTTAATAAATATATTTCAAATTCAATTAATATTGAGGAGCTAATTTTTTAAAAACTAGTTGTGTAGTTCTTACAAAACTTAGCAGGGAAAAAAATTGTCATGTTATAAGGTATTTCTGCCACCTTCTTGGCATGCCTTTGTGGTGTGGTGGTCTGCATGCTGGGCGCATATTCCAGTGGTCCACGGTTCGATTTTAGGTGAAGGCGTTGCTAATTTTTCATCTTGCCTGCTTCCAAAAAATATCTAATGTCTCTACAGTGGCACCCAAACTAAAAGTGTGGTGGATGGTGGTTCTCCTCACCCAGGATTTGGCTATTGGGTCCCCTAAAAATCCCAGTCGCCCTTTAAAAGGAGAGTATATAAGGTATTTCTCCACCTTCTTGGCATGCCTTCATGTTGTGCTGGTCTGCACGCTGGGCGCATATTCCAGAGGTCCGTGGTTCAATTCCCGGCAAAGGCGTTGCTAATTTTTCATAAAAGTCCGATTTCTGGTCAAAATATCTATATTAGAACTGTGCTATATTTACAAGTTGTGACACGCACACACACAAAAAAAAAAAAAAAAAAAAAAAAAAAAGGAGACTGGTCCAAAAAAATCATTGTACTTACAGAATCAGTTCTCCATCACATTATCACCTTCAAAGTAGCTCCTTTAGCATTCACACACTTCTGCATTCGGTTCTACCATTGCTGGTAATAGTTCTGGAAGGTCCTTTAGGAGATTCACCGTTTTTGCCTAAACCTCTTCAACTTAGGTAAAATGGCTTCCCTTTAAGCAAGATTTAACTTTAGGAAATAAAAAAGAAATAGCATGGAGCCAAATCAGATGAATAAGGAGGATGCCCCATCACAGTAATGTTTTTGCTGATCAGAAATTGCTTGACAGATAGGGCCATGGGAGCAGGTGCATTTGTCCTGTTGCAACAGCCATCCATCACTCAACAACTGTTGCCTTTTTTCCCTAATTTTTTCATGGAGTCTTTGTAATACTTCAATGCAGTAGTGTTGTTTAACAATCTGACCACTGGGAACCCACTCAATCATTACAATTCCATTAATGTCAAAGAAGACAATAAACATTGCCTTGAATTTTGATTTTGATATGCATGCTTTGTCCCTTTCCCCTGAAAACCACTTATGCCATTCAAATACACATGCACGAGATAAAGTTTCATCTCCATAAGCCTCAGTTAACATTTGAAATGTTTCCGTGGCTGATTTCTTAAGTTTCACAAGAAACTTGATGTTGATTCGCGCTTCGGTTTTTACATTAGAACATTTATTCCGGCTGAATGCAGTTGCACATGTTCACTCAATGATGTAGTATTCCCAACTGGTGTGTTCGGTTAAGTTGAAACTGGCCGCATGGCTAGAGGAAATATGTGGGATGATGTCACCAAAACAGTTGTAGCCAACTCCACTCTTTTTTCAAACTAAACACTTAGTCTCTTTTTGTGTGTGTGTCACACCTCATAAATCTAATACATATCCTGAGTCGTGCTTTCGAGACATGAAGAAACGCAACTTGAGTGTAGTCAATCAGCCCAGTAGAACGGGAGATATAGAATTGTTCCATTTATTTCACAGTGTACATAAAGGTCCAATATATGTTGTAGCACTGAGAGGTATGATTATAGTAATTGAAAAAACAGGATCACTATGAGTGGGCAGAGAATGGAAGCAGTATTAGATGATGCAGTAACAGAAGTTGCCACTGTAGCGTTCTGCGACACAGAGACTATGAGATGTCAAGCATTTTGCAATAGCGTACCAAACTGATATGCCTTATGGTATTGTCAGTAAATCCTTATGGAAAATATTGCATTTCTGTCTGTACTAGATCAGTCATGAAGAATTAAGAATGAAAGATTATGATACGTGCTTGGACTCTCTTGCTGATTTTTCTTCCCGAATGGAAATTGGCACTTATTGGCCTTGGAAAATATAATGATTAAATGAGGCTGATTTTTATCTGAATTTCAGTACTTAAAGCTGCTGAATTTGGACATCTAATGAGCCAGTGGGTTCTGCAAAAGTAACTTTGTAGTGTGGATTCATGTCTGATTTCATAATAAGGACCATACGTCTTTGAAAATATCATTCCTGCAAGTCCTGTTACCTGTACCATTACTGGTATGAGAAATATTGGTAAATGCTGCAAACTTTTGTGGTTCCCAAGTCCTGAATTGCAGCAAAGAGAGCACTTAGACTCAACAATTTTTATGCAAAATAGAACATAGACACATATTCATTGTTCAGTGCAGACCCTTTTAATCTATCATTTCAGTAATTAGATAGTTATCAGCCATTATTTTCTAACAGAATGGCTGCCTTATTTTCCAGACATCATCTCATGTGACTTTTGGCTGTGGGGTGTTGTGGATCCATCATGTATACTGGGGGCATTATAAACCTGAGTTCCTTGAAAGAGAACATAATACAGGCTTTTACAAATATATAGACTGATAGTTTATGCATAGCAATACAGAACGCAGTACACCAGGTGCAATATCTCATCAACAAAGAAGGGCAGCTCATCAAAAATGTTGCATGTGATCCAGAGAACCCTAATATTGATTAATAAAATCTTATTTTTTGAGAGTTTCATACTGTTTGTCATACATTTCTGAATGTGTATTTTTTATTACAAAAAGATTAATGAAATTTTGTGTAATCCATTTTCCGAACATTCATTGTAATTATTGATCCTTTTTCAGTTATGACAGCACCAGAATTTCTCACATCATTGACTATTTGTACTTCCCCCCCCCAGAATTCATTATCCCATGCCTTCCACAGTCTGTGTATGAAATTTGTTTTAATTCCATTAATTAGTTTTAACTGCAGATGCGTTCAACAAGGAAAGTTATTTTATAACAACCATGTACTTTATTTTTTATGTTATGGATTAGTAAATATGGAAACGAAGGGAGGGGTTCACTTCTGGTCTGCCTGCCTGAAGAGATTTTAAGAAAAAATATAGTTCATGTATTCTTTTCCCTCAGAGCTGAGACCCTCACCAGAACAGTACACACAAATCACTTTCTCCCCAAGCTGCAAAATTATCTAATTTTAGAAACAGTTTACATTATGGAGAATAGCCATTTGCATTCACAAATCCAACACCATTATTTATCACAAAGACTGAAACAACACCCCCCACACTAAACAATCCATAGAGAAAGGGATATGAACATTGAGCCCAACTCATAAGTCCTAGAATCACATCTCATAGAGGCTGAAGAATGTAGAACATGTTGACAATGGTCCCGCTGGGTAATGGCAAGTACGGTTGAATGAACTTAAAACGTGTTTAAATATTTTCAAAAGTATTCAACAATCCAAGTGCTACACATCAGATATCATCAGATATGGGGATATATATTATATAGCTATGAGGTGAAAAAAGTAGAAAAGCTGCATAAGTAACTGCAAGAACTTGTCAGGAATAAAGGGGAAGAAAAGCTCCCTTCTGTATCCTTAAAGAGAAGTTAAGATTTTGAACTGGAAAAGTTTGCATTCCTGTTTTGTTATAGGAAGACAATAATCCAAATTTGACTTTCGGACAGAAAAGAGGGGGGATGCCATGACGAAACAGCAAGACCAGGGTCCAAATACTTCTCGTGGCTAATGAGTCACCAAGAAGAAACTAATAATCCTTACTTGCAGAAGTTAATCTTTTTGCTGTTAAAATAAAGTATTCCAAACTAAGCACATTTTTAAAGGAAATAATAAAAATAATAAAATAAAATTTATTTGTCTAGATTTTAAATTCAGTTTCCAGAAAACAGATTTTGCCATTAAATTAAATTTTCTTTTGTGCAGTGTAAGAATTTGGAGCAGAATGATTGATAATTATTATTTTTAATTATCAATATTATGCAGTAAATCTAATACCAAAGCAGTATTCCTTTGAATTCAATGTTCATCAGAACAATGAAAAGCTGCAGGAACTCCCGAAATTGCATTTGATGAATGAAGTTTTATTTAATTTTAAGTATACATATTTGTAATTGTGATCAGATGTAGGGGGCTCATTTAATGAATGAATATATATATATATATATATATATATAGATAATATATTCAATACAACCTATTTTAACTTGCTTTTTACTTGTTGTCACTTATTTTCATATAATAATTTCCATTTGTAAATTTAATTATGTATTTTTTTTAAATCTAGATCCATCAGTTGGTATAAGCTATTTTAGTGATCCTGGTTCATGTAATGCTTTGATGAATATGCCAACTTGTGTAAGTAGTGTTTGAATTGAAACTATTTGAACTCGCAAGGATCTCACACAATAAAATAAATGTTTGTTTCATTTAGCAACTAAAGAGAGAGACAGCTCATCTAAAATGCTTAGATACAAAAGAAAGTGCAGATGCAGTGTCTTTACCTCCGTCAACTCCAGATGACACCAATACTATTGTGAGTAGTATTTACGTTATAAAATAATATCACTAATGAAAGTCTAATATTAGAATCTGATATTACTTCAGAAAAGAATTTAAAAGAAATTCCTCCCATTTTGTAATGGACTATTTAATATTAAGTCTTAATTTTTCATAAATTATGAAAAATATGTGTCTTTATAAAATTCCAATAAATAAGTATTTGGCGAAGTATTTTAAAATAATCACTAAAAATCCTGAAAACATTTTGTCTTTGACATTTTAATTATTTCACGTTTAAAAAAAAATACATTTTCAATTTTTGTAAATAATTACTGATTAAGTTCAGATTTTGAAATGATTATTGTTTGAATATTGTTGTAGATTTGTTGAAAATCACTTACTATAAATAATTTTTTTTAAAAAAAAAACAGGATATTGTTATCATTCTGCAATTTTTAATACTGTCAAGTTTAGAAATATTAAGTATTCTGCATTCCTTTTTGTTCTTATAGGTTTGTGAGTAAGTTCTTATTTAAGTATATTGATAAATTCTAATTAATACTGACCACTGAAAACTGACAAATTGTGATAGCAGAGATGATGGATTACCTTCGTTCTTTTATTATTTTGTTTATTTATATTAATAATTGGGTATTCATGTAGTATGCAGTATACCATTTTTAGTAAGTTAGTTATTTCTTAGATGGTGCATCTAAAATTCTATTTTTCATTATGAAAATAAATAGAATTAATTTAGAATACCTAAATGTAAATGTTTGCATAAATTAATAATTTATTAAATTTTTAATTCCATTAAATTCCTTCCAGTTTTGCAAAATAAAAAGGCCATTTTAAGGGATTGTTCAGCCGTATGCATTATGAAATAGGAAAATAAATACAAATAATAAAAATACGTAAATGAAAATTAATTAATAATAACCTATTAAATTTTAGTTTAAATAACTTTATAATTCAATTATAATTGTTTCAAAAAATAAAAAATTCACTGACTGATTATTCAAATATGCATTAAAATACTGGGAAAAAGGAATGGTTAAAACAACAATATATTTTAATACTACCATCTAAAACATAACTAACTAACTAAAAGTGGTAGATTGCATACTACAACATTATTATACCTATAATTGCATACGGAAAAACCAGTTATTAAAAGTTTGATTGTTTTAAGTAGTTTGGCATAGTTTTATTTTAATCAATATTTTAACATTGTAAGATCCTAATCTAATAATGAAAATTATAAAATGTTAAAATCGTGTTAATGTTGGAAAGTGAAATGATTGTAATGCACTTAAATTAAGTTCATTCCACAGCTACATTTGTTGCTGAATTAATAGCTTTGTAGTGAACCACTTACTTATTTCACTAAACTCTGTCTTTGGTAAGGCTGTTAGGCAGTTTATCTCCGTGTTTATCAAAGTAATTCAAAAGAAAGTTTAAATAATTTTTTATTAAAAGTTTTGATCTTAATAAATGCACAGCTTTTGTTTATTGCACAGCTGTTTGTGGGATTTAATCAATCATAAAACGTGTATTGAAACTTTTTACGTAATTTAATGCCAGAAATTCACAAAGCCTATCAAGCACTGGCTTAAACTATTGTAATTGTGCAAGCAAACTCAGCTAGCAAAAAATAGTACCTTAAAGTAACTCATAGAGCTGGGTGAAGCTATACAGAGGCTGTTCGCACATTTTTTAGACGATTTTGGTAAGCGGTAATAAAACATCGTTTGCTGCAAAAGAAGTAATTGCAATTGAACTATGTTTTTAAAAGTTAAAATTATCATCTGTGGCTTGTTTTTATTCAAAATGGTGAATTTAACAAAGCAGTGGTTCGAAGGCTACATTTACGCTCTTTCCGAAAAGAAATATGCATACTCCGTTATCCAAAAATTATGTGAGAGTCATGGTTTTGTGATATCTAAAGTGTCAATAGGTAATATCATCAACAAGAAAGGAAAAAAACGTCAAATTGGAGCCTCAAGTGGGACAAAAATGCCAAACAAGTATCCAAGGAAAAAACGGACATCTTCGACTATTGCAAAGGTACGTTGTGTAATGTTAAAAGAAAATCCCCCTAGTCAAAGAACAGCTGCAAAATCATTAAAATGCTCAGTGTCCACTGTAAACAAAATGATAAACGTTGATTTAAATCTTAAGAAAGCGAAAAAACGCAATGTGCATCATCTTCTTCCAAATCATATCGTTCAATGCAGGACACGCTGCAGAATTCTATATGAGAAACACTTATCCAAAGAAAAATGGAAAACAATTGTCACAATAGATGAAGCATGGGTGTATTTAAATGACTGTAACAAAAAAAGAGCCATTTATTATCATAAAAAGGGAGAAAAAATTTAAGTACATGGTTCAAAGAATCGAAAGAAAGTTTTTCTAAGGGATTCATGATTGTTGCTGGTTATTCTTATAATGCAAGTTAAAAATAAAAAGAGTGTAAAAAAATGTCAAGATTAACTCCAAATACTATCAGGAACATATTTTATCGCCAATTTTTCTGAATGAAATACCATTGCTTTACCCACAGTGCCATCAATCTGTGAGACTCCATCAGGACAAAGCTAGCAGTCACACATCAAAATCCACTGTAAATTTCCTAAAAGAAATGGAACAAAAAACTGGTATCAAGGCCATACCCTTTACTGATATCCCTACTAAATCTCCCAATGTGTCACCTATGGATTTTTGTGCTTTCGGACTTTTGAAAACTGCAATATCCAAAAGTTGTCCCCAAACCCTAACAGGACTCTGGAAAGCTGTTCGGGAGGAATGGGATAGAATACCTCTTCTGTCACTTCAAAAGACATTATTATCCTGGAAATTGCAGTGTCAAAAGATAGTTCAGAATAAGGGATGTCAAATAGAATGTTTAAAACACAAGAATTTTTGTAATTTAGTTTTGTGAATACAATATACCTCGTCTAAAAAATGTGTGAACAGCCTCTGTATCACTGCATTCAGCATTACTGCCAAAGCTCTCTTTCTAAACTTCATGAACTCTGTTCTTATATATTTATAGCTAGTTGGCATCTTGGTGAAAGCTAACAAAATTAGAAGTGATAGTACAGGTAAAATAATGAGTTAATTAACATAAATTTACAGCATGTGTAGCACTAATGTGCTCTGAAATGTTGTTCAGCTGCTATCCAAATAATTAAAGGTATGAATACTGCAGATTAGTAATAATGAAAATATGTATTTTTAAATTTTTGGAAATGCTGTAAAAGAATTTCATATTTATTGGAACATTTTCATTTTAAATATTTAACCATGGTATATTTTTAATAATTAATATAAGAGTTTAATAGAAGTTGAAATAAAATTCTAATCAAACATTGTCTGCACTGATTTATTTGTAAGAAAATGTAGTACATTTTGAGCATTAATTAAAATAATTTCTCCTGTTTAATGAATGTTTTAAAAGAGTATTATTGTAATATTATTAATTTTATGAAAGTGGCTTAGAACTAAGAAGAATCATAGTAATCACTTACTTAGCATAAAACACGTAATATATATTTAAGCAGTTAAAAATGTGTAAATAACAATGTGTAGCTCATGATGTATTTTGTTTCATTTATTGATTGATTTTTATTTATTTATTTTTTTATTTTTTTGTGGGGGTATATTTAACTGTCACCTTAAAATGTGTATCTTCAGTGTATTCAAAAATATATAAAAAAATCCTTTTCTTTTAAATGTATTCTTTCTTTACACATTAATATATATATATATATACTAATTTTTTCCCGCAGGTGAAACGCTGAGATCAACTAACTAAATCTAAAAACATTCTTTCCCTTTATTTTAGCTAGATTGAGCAGTATGTATATTGACTGTCATTTAATATGTTACACATCTATGAAACATGTATTAGAAGATTGCATATTCTAAATAGTGTAACTATTTTGCTGTGCAATTATCTGACACATCACACACAAATTTTTGGTACAAGCTTCATAATACTATGCTGCTTATATGTCTTTACTGTACTTTGCATGAAGAATCAACTAATGTTTAATCAGTTGATATTTGTATTTAATTTTGTCTTACATTTGTGTATGGTAAAGTTTATCCACACAATAGTACATGTATTAATTATTAATTTTATTTTCATTGTGTTTAAAAGTACTCAAAGGGCCTTTTTCACAACTTAGAATTTTTCTCAGTGTAAAAGTGTAAGAAAATTACAAAATAAAATTACCCCAAAAAACATAGAATTTAGGATATCAAATTAATATATATCACATCGTAATCATATTATAAGTAGTTGAACAGCAAGAATTATGCATTCTAAAATCAATTAAGGGCTCTATTAAAATGGTGTCATAATTCAGGTCAGAAATGGCAATAAAACTTCTGGTTTTTAGCACATGAACATCCCAATTTTTTATATGTCAAAATTGGCAGTTATGTAACTGGATAATAATAATTGACACATATATTGATAATTGACACATATATCATGTAAGTCTTCCCCTCAGAGGCTCACTTTATGTGAGTATGGGTGTGGCAATCTAGAGGTACCCTAGCCCTTCAGGGGATCATCATCTTGGTGAGATGGGTGTCACAGTCCTGGAGCCCCAGTGATCTGTCCTCTTTTCCATCTCCTCTCCTCTTGGCTGTAACTTTTTCCCTCCTCCCTTGTGGTTTCCCTCTTCGGAGTTTGGGGCTCGTCACGAGAAACTAGAACAGCCCTTGTCTCTAGTTTTTGAACTGAAAACTAGAGACAAGGAGAAAACTGCCCATGTGTTTGCCATGCTTGGAGAACCGTGTTGCTGGAGTCCTGGTAGTTGAGGGGTGAGTTACTGTCCCAAACACACTGCTTTGGCCTCTGCTTCAGCTAAACGGGAGGCACCTTAGTTGTTCTTTTGGGTGTCAATCAGCTGGTCACTAGTCCTTGTGTTAGTGGCTTAGGAATAAGCTTTCAGGAGTACCTGCTTTCGGGAAAGCCAACTGTGGGGCTTCAATTTGCGTATAGATCTGGCTAGCCCTAACACAGGAATCTGTGTTCCCTTGTTGGGCTCCGTGGTGGGCGGGACCCAAATCTTTCCTCTCTTCAATATGGCAAACTCTCACGTTTATCTAATTAAAGACTTCGAAGTTAGTCAAGTCAGTCAGAGCATTAGTTCTGAAAAATCTGTTGCTAAAAAAGTACGTACAGATGCTAGTGCAAATAATCCTAACAATAGTCCCCATTTCCTATCTCTAGTCCTTCTGGCAAGCTGCATAAGATGTTTCCTTTCGTAATAAATAAATACATCCATTTTTGTATTGGTGAGCCGAGAAATACAAAGCGTCTATGCTTTGGAGCCTTGCTTATTGATACAGTTTTGGCAACTCAGTCTTGCATCATTACTTCAAATAACCAAACTTGGACAAGCGAATGTCACTGTAACAGCACATAAGACAATGAATTATTGTCATGGTGTAATCTCGGAATTCGACCTTCTGTATGCTTCTGAAGAAGAGATTGCATCCGAGCTGTCTGAACAAAAATGTCTGCAGTGTTAGGCGGATCAAGATGCATAAGGAAGGTAAGTTGATCGATGCAAAACACGTGCACTTTAAGTATGGGAAATGATCTTTACAACAGAGATCACTATCCCATTTTTATATCTTTTGCACGAAGGGGAGCAAATCCCATGTCGAGATCCCCTTGGTTCATACTCAATAGGGCAGCCTAAGAACTTTTCTCTTCCGTTGCAAAACTCATAGAGGGAATAGTAGAAGATGTGTATATCGATGACGCTGTAGAAGCTGTTACTAATACTATTATTCAGGCAGCTAAGCTTTTCATTCCTAGAACATCAGGAAAAATACTGAAATATACAAAACCATAGTGGGATTGTGCTGTCATGAAGCACTGAAAAAGCAGAAAAAAGCATGGGGAATTTTTCGTAGAAATCCTACTCTGTAAAACCTCATAGCACTTAAAAGAGCCAAAGCAAATGCACAAAAAGTAAGAAAGCAGAGCCAAAGGAATTCTTGGATTTCATATGTGTCATCAATAACATTCTCTACGCCTAGTAAGTGGGTATGGGAAAGAGATAGAAAAGCTTGCGGGATATATAAAGACCACTCACTTTCCTTTTTGGAAAAAGGTGGCCGAGTGATTAGCTCAATAGGGAAGAAATAGTGAATGCTATTAGTAAGACATTTGCTGCCGTTTCTTTCAGCAGAAACTATTCACCTGCATTTCTCTCTATTAAGCAGCACTCTGAAAGAAATCCCATTGCATTCAACTCTTCCAAATCTGAGCCTTATAATAGAGACTCTACTATGCTTGAACAAATAGAGTTTTGTTCCAGATACATAGGTCTTCTCCAGGTCTTGATGGCGTGAATATGAAATGCTGAAGCATCTGTCCTATAAGTCACTGACTGCCCTTCTTTATCTTTACAATAGAGTGTGGAAGGAGCATACTTTTCCCAGTGCATGGAGGAGAGCTGTTGTAATTCCTATTGCTAAGCCAGGGAAAGATCCAAGGAATCCCTCCAAATATCGGCCAATTGCCCTTACGAGTTGCGTATGCAAGCTGTCTGAAAAAAAAATGGTAAACAGTCGACTAGTCTTCTTCTTGTAAAAGAATATTAATATATCGCCTTATTGAAGCGATTTTCGAAAGGGGAAAACAACCGTAGATAACATGCTCCTTTTAGAGATCTCTATTCAAAAAGCTTTTGTAAGAAGAAATCACCTTGTCTCAATTTTCATTGATATAAAGAAAGCATGGAGGATAAGGCATGGAGATACGGTATATTTTGTGATCTTCATGATAGTGGCTTGCATTGCAACCTACCATTTTTCATTCAGAATTTTTGGAAGCTAGAACTTTTCAAGTAAGAATTGGCTCTATTTTGTCAGAAACTTCCTCCCACCATTTCAGGATCTTTATATGTTGATAATCTACAAATTAGCTGTCGAGGTGCGGATATGAGACATGTAGAGAAGCAGCTGCAGATCTCTTTGAACAAGATCCAGGAATGGGCAAACAGGCAGCGATTTACATTTTCGAAACAGAAGACTGCGTGCGTGCACTTTTGTAGAAAACGAGGTCTCCATCCTGAGCCTGAATTATACGTCAATGGGTCAGTGATTCCAGTTGCACCTAAAGTAAAATTTTTAGGGGTGACCATTTGACCAAAAATTGACTTTTCTTCCTCATGTCCTAAACTTAAGAAAGAAGTGTACAAATATTTTAAATATTTTAAAAGTCCTGGCGAACACCTGCTGGGGTGCAGAGCATTGCTCCATGCTTTGCATTTATAGAGCTCTTATTCTCTCTAGACTGGACTACGGCTCAGCTGTTTACGGATCCGCTCAGTCTTCAGTGTTGTTAAAACTAGATCCTGTTCACCATCAGGCTCTGCGGATTTGTTCTGGAGCCTTCAGGACGTCTCCTGTTCAGAGCCTTTATGTTGACTGTTACGAACCATCACTCCGTTTGAGGCGGGAGGAGTTGTATCTTTTACAGTATTTTAATATATTGTCTTAACTTGACCATCCTTATAAACTGTGTTTACTTGATAATAGTTGTGACCTTTTATTTGAGGCACGTCCATCCTGTGTGCCTTCTTTTCCTGCTAGAGTTCATCCTCTCATTGAAGAATTCTCCCTGTCTGATATGTCCCTACAAGCAGTACAGCATTTTGAAATCCCACCTCGGGGAAGCACAAATCCAGTTTCTTGATATTTTCCACAGTTAGTCAAAACAACTACTAATAAGATCATCTACAAAAAAAATTTTACTGAGCACAGGCATAGTTACAGCAGTTATGTTTCCATATATATGGATGGATCTAAGTCAACTTGTCATGTTGGGATGTCATTTATAATTGGTGACCACATGGAAGGCAGACTTTTATGTGACGCTTCCTCGGTCTTAACCTCCAAACTGACTGTCATATATTATGCGCTTTTGTACATCTCAACACTGCACCATGGAAAATTCATTATATGTGCAGACTCCTACAGTGCATTGAAAGCTTTAGAAACCTTTTCTAGCACCGAGAATCCTGTGATAGTGGATGTAGTCAAGTTGAATATTAAATTAATGGGTTGTGGATATAAAATTCTGTACTGCTGGGTCCCCGGACATGCAGGAATAAAAGGCAATGAGCTGGCGGACATCACAGTGAAATCTGCTGTTGAAATGTCCAGCCGCCTCATCCCTTTTGTAGATATCTGTTGTATCATTAAAGAGAAGATCAGGAAAAAATGGCAGCAACTTTGAGACATTCAAGCTCACAACAAGTTGAGAAGAGTGAAGCTTAAAATAGAGCATTGGGATATTACTAGCAGTCGTAAGGAGGAAGTTCTTTTGACTCGGCTTAGAATAGGTCACACTAGAGCGACACATAGCGATCTACTAAAAGTTGAGAATGAGCCTGTTTTCCCAAATTGTACTGTTTGTCTCTCAGTCCATCACATTTTAATAGTCTTCGTGAGAAGTGTTTTAATAGCTGCGACCTGCTTCTCGACTGTTTAATTGGAAAAGAGGTTGATACCAATTTGTTTCACTACCTGAAAGAAACAGGCTTCTATTATTTAATTTGATTTTTGTCTTGAGATTTTATGTTAGAATTTTAATGAATCAGATGTTTTAGGATTATATATCTATATTGCATATCTCATTATCTGAATCATAATCAGCATTTTCATCCCACCATTTTAATATCTTTTTACTTGCTTTTATTTTATAAGTGTGCTGTTAACTTTAGACATTTTTCTTTATCAAAAATTTGTACTTTAGTTTGTATATTGAAAAACAAATCGTGTGTTTGGCGTATATGGCCTTTAGAGCTTTGTGCCATAAATCTACTACCACCACCATCATATAAGTCTTCCTGTCTTTTTCTTTTTTGCTGTTCTCTTAGAAATGTTAATTTAAAAAGAATGGCCTTTTTCCCACATTTTTGTTATTTGTATGTTGCTTATTATTATGGTTATTTTATAGTATATGAATCCTATAGAAGAAGAATTTGAGAGAAGTTCATCTGACATAGATACAGAATGTCATTATACAGAAATTACTGTATCAAACAATAACAACAACAACATTTCAAAAGTAAAGAAGAAGAAAATTACTGATGAGGAAATTGTTGAGCGACTAAAGGCAATTGTTTCCACTGATGATCCAAATAAAAAATATGCGAAAATGGAAAAGATTGGACAAGGGTAAATATGATTACCCTGTATTTAATTATTTTGCTCATAAAGTTATGACAAGTTAATGTTAAGTTATTTTTTCCAGTACAATTTACATTTCTTAATGATACTTAGCTGGAGAATATGTAGGAAGTATTTTGCTCAGGTATTTGATAGAAATATTTAAGTTTCTCTTATTTGATCAACGCATTTGTTTAATGTATTACCTTGCTCTTAAAATATTTTTCTCTAATAAGTTTTTTAATGATCTTGGTCCCCCCCTTTTGATCTGGAAATTATAAAAATAAATAGTAAAATAATTATTTTACTGAGTAACAAATGGTATGTAAGTCCATAAAGTCTTCTGTATTGAAATTTTCCATACATTTCAGAATATTAATTATCTTCTTGACATAAAACTATATACAATTTTTTAAAATCTGACCTTTAACGAGTTTAACTTTATTTAATTCCAATACAGTGCTTTTGCGGTTGAAATAGCTTTTTCTAGATGTATTGTTTTTCAGAATTTTATAAAAATAGTTTCAGCATGGGGATTGAAGAGTTCTGTAAATATAAAATCTAATTTCTATGTGAACCTCGTAAAAGTTTCAGTAATTAAAATACTCATTATGCTTTAAAGCAATTACACAGAATGACCCAGACTTTAATGTTTAAATTGCTAATATTATTTTACCCAACACAAACACATTAATTGTCAAAACAAGCAAATTTTGTTTTGTAAGTGCTCCTGAAATTTTATAGAATATCAATCTATAAAATTAATTGAAATTTTATAGAATATCAATCTATAAAATTTCAGGTTTCTGAATATAAACCTATACATGTGTAAGCTGAGAATGTGTTTTTTATTCAAAAATTTATCCAAAATTTAAAACCCATATATAAGTTGAAATGAAAAAAAAATTCCTGTTGTATTCAAACATGTCTTGATGACGGCAAAAATGTTGGCAAGCAGTTGTAACATGTGAATTATATCCCAATCAAATTGCTGTAAAGTATTATGTCAGATGCAAAAGACAATATTTTTAACTCTGGTACATCTCTCTGAAGTTAGCATGTCTTTTCCATTCATTTGTCATCTTTTATATGATCTGCATTATCTGTACTGTCCTAATTTTCTGTGCCATTGTACTTTTTTTGTCTGAAAGATGAGTGAAAAGAGAAAGTCTTATATGAGATGTCAAACTACTGACTGCTGTTGTCAAAATTTTAATAACAGTATGGCTACTCAGCATTTCTCTGTAAATGGAAAACAAGTTCAAGATTGGATAAAGCAGGGTGCACATTTTGCCAATATCAGACTTTTCATCTTAGCGATGTACAACCAACATTGTAAACAGTTTTGAAAATTAAATCACTCATTTTCATAAAATGAATGTCTCATTTCCTTTAAAAGATTTTTATGAATTTAATATAAACTAAAGAAATAAAAAGAAATGTGATATTTGGCAATGATCGCTTGCAAGTTGACCTCTGTAGTTCAGCTTTAGAAAATGTTCCAATGTCATATTTTCTAAGCATAGTCGTAATGGCTGGAACTCTCAGCAGCTTTTGACGTCCATCATGGCTGTAGTTAAGGCATACAGTTGAGAATAATAAGGCATGAACTTGAAGAATTTCCAGTCTTTATTTTCCCACATATCCAATTAATTTGGCAGACACTTATTCAATGATAATTAAATATGGTAAATTTCTGTGTACATTGATTCTAAAAAATTAAGACGCAGGCAGTTTAGATGGGAAATAGAGGCGAGGAGTTATTAGCAGAGTTTTTTTAAAAGGATTCTCCTCCCTGAATTTTGTTGTTTGAATTCTAAATTAATACTTGTCTGGCATGTTATTTTATCTTAATTATCAGTTTATTGTTGTATATATCTAACAATATTTAAAAGCAGTTTATTGTTGTAGCAAAAAATATGTAAAATTTATTGGACCATGCAAGGAAGTCATGCGAGTTCCATATAAGACCTTTTTAATTAAATAATGCTATTTGTGTCTTCCATTGTTTATTTGCTTGTACTATCTGTATTTATTGCAAAGAATGAATTGCTTTATGTTGTTGTTGTTTGTGGCTGGCAGATGGCATCATAAATAAAAGTTGATCCTCATAGGGCTCTGCCATTACTGGGGCAGAATTTATGTGTACTGGCTTTTTGATATGATACCTGGAACAATGCAGCTAAATGCTTGTTCTGAATATGAGTTGAAGAGAAGTTGATTTGTGTTGAATCACTTCTCAAATTGTTGACACCAAGTATTATTGCCCTATATTGTATTTAAAGAAAATAATAATGAAGAATCTATGTGACTGAATGTATATTTCTTGCATTGCAAAAAAATGTTATCTAGAGTCATCAAATTTTGTGTAACATAGTCCTCCACTCGAACGTGGTCACTTGGAAGCCCGAATTTGGAATTTGTTGTATTGCCTATTTCATATATTGTAAAACTTTATTGATTAAAAAAGTCAACAATTCAAAACGAAAACATTTTTTTATCTCCAGTGTGTGAGACTGTCTATCAGAAATTTTAAAAATATGCTGGTTTTAAATATTTTTAGTCCAATGTGTTGTTAGCCCAAATGCTCTTGAAACATGCATGTGTTTATAAATAAAAAAAAATGCCTGTTAATGCATAATATAAAATCTGAAAGCTTTCAGTTTTTTTTCCCCCCCTAATAGATAGCAAATTTTAATTTGCATCTGTTTTTAAGCCAAACAGTAAATTACATCAAACAACATTACAGTGCTTAGATAATGATTTTATCTAAGCACTTTATTTTATTTATATGAATTTGAAATCATTAACAGTGCTTATAGATTATAATGTCTTCATTCCTGCATTTTAACTGTTATTGATGTACTTAAAAGGATTTATTTATTTATTTATTTATTAATTTTAGTGCTTCTGGTACTGTATACACTGCTAAAGAACGGAATAGTGGATTGGAAGTTGCAATTAAGCAAATGAATTTATCTAATCAACCAAAGAAAGAACTCATTATTAATGAAATTTTAGTTATGCGTGAAAAGAAACATCCTAATATTGTAAATTACCTGGATAGCTATTTAGTGGAAGATGAACTTTGGGTAAGATTATTAATTTATATGATGATTGTAATTATTAGAAATGTTTTTATTACTTGCTAACAGGTTTTTGTTTTGTTTTACGTTTACATACATACAATATTATGCAATATTTTGAATGACTATTTGGGATTCTTTAGTTACCTTATTTCTTTACATATTCCCCTGCCTTCTTTTACTAATTTACCGTCTAAAAATGAAGAGAGAAAAATTATGTAACTTAATTTCTGAAGGACTCGGTTATAGTAAGAGCATAACACATGTTAAGTCATGGATTCTTTTTGATTTCATGAGTCTTGAATTCTTGATTTTCGGCCATCGTTCTTAAATAAGAAATATTCACTTAATAACTAGCTTGACTAAATAAGAATTAAACTTAAATGCTTTATAGAGACTATTAACGCGAAGATAGGCTTTTTGAGGCAGACATGAACTGACTGAAGAGCATGTACTTAGCAGAGCAGCAGGAACTCTCTCTTGGCTAGAAGCCACTTCTTAAATATCTTTTACAGTTTGCAAACTCATTTGCATAAAAATCCCACTTGTGCTTATTCTGGCCAGAAATGGAAAATAAGAGAGGATAGCAAAGTTTAAAATAAAATAAACATTAGTAAAATTTAAAATCTTTATAATATAGCTTCAGAAATTTGAAAGTTAGGTCACACAAAACAGCGGAAGAATATTTTCCTACATTTGGAATCATTTTTTCAATTTTTAACCATAAGGTGTTCTTTTCTTGAGATTATTATAAATAGAGAAGCAGAAACTAAAGTTATTTATAAAAATAGTAATGTTAGTTCTAAAACGTTACAGAATTCTATATTTAGTAATATTAAATGTTTGAAATCTAATGGAATTTGTGCTTTTTATAAATGCATTAAATTAAAAAATTTGGATGTCTGTGATGCTAAGGAAAACTTTGTGAGAAAACAAGGATTGTATTTTTTTATATTTTAATACCATCTCTTCAAACTGTAATTCTCAATTAAAGTGTAATTTGTGTAATTCAAAAATACTAATAAATAGTTTGTTGTATGAAGATCGTAAAGCTAATAGTATACAATTTATAAAATCAGAAACTGAAAACGAAAGCACTTTCAAATGAATCCAGCAAGGATCAAGGTCATGTTGTGAGTCATAGAGTTCAAAATTGCAATTCAGTGATTCTACTTATGGATATGGTTCTGGGAATTTCCTCAAGTGGCAAAACTGTTGAAATTAAATTATTATTGAATTCAGGAAGTGCATTTTTGTTGGAAAAATAGGATTGAAGAAGATATCGGTTACTTTGTGGAATTGGCAGAGTGCCAGCCTCCAAGACTCCTAGCTCAATTAGGAGGTTCGAATCCCACGAACGGGCTGGCTGCATGGGTGTTTTCGTGGTTTTCCCCATGTGTAATGTGTATACGAGTCAGTTTGCCTTAGAAGGTCCTCCACGAAGGCATCCCTTCCCTTAGGCAGATAGCTATAGTGTGCTTTACCATAATTAAATACACCACCACACCTAGCTCAATTAGTTTAAAAATTACATCAAAGTTAAATAGCGAAACAATTAATGTTAATGCATGTATTTTGGATGTGGGAACAAGTCCTTAATGTAAAGCATATAGATTATATCAAATCTGTTCCATTAGCGGTTCCAAATTTTGCTCAACTCAAAGAAATGGGTTTAATTTTAGGAGCTGATTATTTTTTCTCTATCTTAAACCGTTGACAGATGTATGGTTGAAAAAATGAACCTGTAGCTCAGAATACAATTTTCGGTTGGGTGAATGGAAAAGTTGGATCTAATATGGAAGGTCCAAAAACAGTTCATTCACACTTCATAAAGCTCGAAGGATAATCTAAATATTAATTCCGAGCATAAGCATTTCTGAGAAATGGAGGAAGTTGTCGAGGTTGGGAAGAATAAATTCCTGATACCTGAGAAACAATTCTGTGAATCACATTTTCAAAACGCTTACTCTTTAATTCAGATGGGTTATTTGTTGTGTAAACATCCATTTTATAAAACATATCAGAAGTTGGGTGATTCAAAACCAGCAGCAATTTATAGATTGCATTCCATGTAATGAAAATTCAAAGATAATCTGGAATTTGAAAAACAGTATAAAGATTTTATATATGAATATGAACAGTTAGGTCATATGAATTGTGATTAATGATCATTTCTCTAACTGATCGGATACAGAAAAATGTTTTCTTCCTCGTCATTAAACCTTCAAGCAGTATGACAAAATTAAGAGTAGTCTCTGATGCATCCTGTGAATCTGAATGTAGTATAGCACTGAATTCACTTTTAGGGTAGATCCAAAAATTCCACAGATTTTTAAGATTTTGATTAATTTTTAATTTCCTAAAATTGCTTTTACAGCTGAACGGGAAGAAAATATATTGTCAAGTTATGGTAGCCCCTGAAGATCAATTGGTATTATGGTGATACAATTCCAGTGATGAAATATGTGCATAAAGTTGAATATGCACATAAGCTGAAATCGACTACATGGGGTCTTTCCTGAGCTTTATTTTTAGAAACCAGATATCTGAAGCAGATAGCTGTAGATTCCAAAAAGGAATTGGATGTGTCACATATATTGGAACATGATATGTATATCGATGACTTACAAGGGGTGCTCAAATGAAAAGGTACGAAACGACGTAAAAACGTAACAGTTAAATATTTGCATATTCCGCCATGGGAGCATGTAGCGAGACATCTCGGGATGCGATTGGAGTCCCTGACTGGGATCATAGCATGCGCAGTCACCCACATGCTCTGGAGAAAGCAGAGGCTCTTATCAAAAGTGGCGTCCAAATGATGCGGGCAGTCCATATGAGGACAGGTGTTCGCGTTGCAAAATTCGACGACTGAGGAGCAGCGAGGTGTTATCCGATTTCTGACAGCGGAAGGTGAGAAACTGGCAGCTATTCATCGCCGGATGGTGACAGTTTATGGGGAGAAATGTGTCTCTGACGAGTCTGTCAGAAAATGGAGTGCCCGTTTTCGTGCAGGCCGTGAGAGTGTGGGTCATGACTGGATACCAGGCCAGGCAAACACTGTCATCACGAGCGATCTCATCGACAAGGTGGATAACCTAGTGAGAAGTGATCGTCGTGACACATTGCGAATGTTGGCAGTGAAGGTGGATGTCAGCTATGGAACCGTGTGGACAATTGTTCACGACAGGTTACCGGAAGGTGTGTGCCGCTTGGGTTCCGAAGCAGCTCACTGACCAGCAAAAGGAACTGCGTATGTGGCTAGCACTGCAACATCTGTTTCGGTATCAGGAAGACCTCGCTTTCATGGAGCGGATCGTCATAGGTGATGAAACCTGGTGCCATCACTACGAGCCAGAGACAAAGCGGGACAGCATGCAGTGGAAGCATGCGTCCTCACCTCTGCCAAAAACATTCAAAGCCATGCCGTCAGCAGGCAAGTTGCTGCTCACCATCTTTTTCGACGTTCTAGGTCCGCTACTTGTAGAATTCCTCGAGCGCAGAAAAACCATTAACTCTGATGTGTATTGTGAGACACTCCGAGGCTACGCAGGTTCATCAAGAAAAAAAGACCGGGGCTGCTCACGGAGGGTGTGGTTCTGCTCCATGATAACGCACGTCCACACATCTCCAGAGTCACACACATGGAACTAGCCAAGTTCAAGTTGGAGACGGACCATCCGCCCTACAGTCCGGACATGTCGCCCTGCGATTTCCATGTGTTTGGTCCACTGAAGAAACACTTGAATGGAAAGTGCTTCAACTCGGACGACGTACTTATTCAAGGACGCTGTGAAGGACTAGATCTTGTCAAGGCCACAGGAATTCTGGGAACAAGGAATCCTGCGGCTTTTTTATCAGTGGGATCGTTGTGCTCAGGCCTATGGTGTATATTTTGAATAAAGTCTACATTTGTACTCACCGTGTCATTTCATACCTTTTCATTTGATCACCCCTTGTATTATCAGGTGCAAATACAGTTGATGCATTGTCAGTCTGCAAGAAAGTGTCTTCAGTTTTACATGGATATGGTTTCGATTTGAGGAAGTGGAGTTTAAACTATGAAGAATTCTTAACTGAATTCAAGGAACATTTTTCACGTAATCCCAATTTCGAGATATCTCCTAATTTGAGTTCGAATGTCTTATGGCTTTTCTGGAATTCATCTGCTTACACCTTCAGTTTTAAAGCTGTGTTTTAACTAAATGCACCGATAACAAAGAGATTAATATTGGCAGAATCCGCCCGTATTTTCAATCCTGTGGGTCTTCTATTTCCTTTCACTGTACCAGTTTAAATATTTTACCAAAAGCTGCAGTTAGTTTAGAGGGACTGGGATTTAATTATTCCCCAATACCTCTCAAATGAACTGGTTAAAATTTCAAGAGACATTCGGTCAGATCAATAATTGTGAAATTTCAAGATATGTCTTATTTACAGTAGACAGTGCTATTTAACTACATGGATTTTATGATGCCTCTTCACTGACGTATGCAGCAGCCATCTACTGTCACAAAAAATGCAATGGTACCATTAATATTAATCTTTTGGTATCAAAGATTAAAGTTGCACCTATAAAACAAATATCTATCCTCGATTAAGAATTTGTGGCACATATTTGCTAACCAGATTATTTTGATCTATTTTGAACACTTTAAAAGAATCCATAAAGTTTAATTTCGAAATTTATGCTTGAGCAAATATTGAGCTAGTTCTGTGATGGCTCTCCTCTCATCCACATAAGTGAAAAACTTTTGTTGCATATAAAACATAGATAGAAGTGATACCTCTTATATTGTAATTGTGTTCCTTCTAAAGAAAATCATGCAGACTTTGCATCTTGTGGTAATGAACCTCAACTTCTACCAACATGTACTTTGTGGTGGAATGCTCCATCATGCCTCTGTAAGGATGAGAAAAACTGGTCTAAATATGAATTAAGATCTGAAGATGATACTGATATAAAGGCTGAACAAAGATCTGATTCTATTCTTGTTGTGAGAGTCTATGTATTCTGGTTTACTGCCAACAATTTATTACTCATTGCAAGAAGCATATTAATACTCAAAATAATTTTAATAGCAGCATTCATTCCAGCTACTAACATTTCTAGAAATTTGAGTAGTATAGAAAATCATTATTTGTTGGATTCACAGTCTTTATTTCCAAGAAGATTTAGAATGTGTCAGGGACAAGAAATGCATAGATGTTTCATTTCATGTTGTGGTGCACCATGACACATTTACAGTGACAATGACACCAATTTTGTGTGAGCATACTGAAAACTGCACAAACTAAATCAAATTTGGTCTTCTTTCTATGCAACACAATCAGTGTCTTGAAAACTAACTCGATCATCTATTGAATAGCATTTTATACCACCTGCTTCACCACACTTCAAAAAAATATGGGAAGCTGGCATTTGCTCAGCAGAATTTCATCTGTGAAGATTATTAAAGGAGACTTTTTTGACCTATGAAGAGTTGCTTTGATCGAGTCTATTTTAAATTCGTGTCCTCTTACATACATGAACGATTTTGATATCGACTTTATTAATGTTTTAGCCCCATTTCATTTTTATTACAGGTGATACTTTCACTTCCTTTCCAGATAGACATCTGCTTACTTCTACAATGATTTCTAGGTGGAAAATTATTCATATCCTTCAGCATTGATTTTGGAATCATGGAAAACACAAACATTTGATTTCTCTTTAGCATGATCCAAGAGGCAGCATGCCAAATCCAACTTGCAGATCAACACTGTGGTTCTTGTTTTCAAAGATAGATCCCCACCTTTAACCTGTCTTGTAGGGTGTGCCTTTGACATCCAGTTTGGCAAAGATTAGTTTGCATAGCCACAGTCAAACGTAATCCTGTTGTCTTCAAAAAGCAAAAATTCAAACTTTCACCTCTTATCTTTGTATCACCACTACCTTGAACCTGATAGGATGGGAATATGTTTACTTTCACGCTTGTCATAGTTAAATACAGATTCATTGGCAACACTATTTTGCATATTTATCATTGCCATGGATTTTAGAATTTAGCTGACCTATATCTGTTTCAAGATTTATTTTTAACTGAGCTATGATGTCAGATTATTATTAGATGCTTCTGTGAGAATATTGAACTATTATATGTTTACGATTTATTAATATAAAGTAGAAATAGTTGAACTTTCATTTTTATATAATACTTGCTTGTTTTTATGTGGTACATCTGTAAAATTTTAAAACTGAATTCACAATGGATTGAGATTTGAAGAAGGAAACCTTCTCATGGTTTAGGCATATAGTCCTTTATTACCATGTATATCTTATTTTGTTCTTAGAGCTTCTTTCTTCTTAGTTTTAGAGAGATTGGCTTTCATAGAATATAGTGTTTGTAGAAGTAAGCTATTAGAACACTGGTTCATTCCCTCATTATGCATCCTGGATTTTCTAAAAATTTTCTAAATTCTTCTAAAAAATTTCTGAAATTTTCTAAAAACTTTCAAGTTTCCTTTCTTTTCCTCTTCCTTTATGTAGATAAAATTTAATTCTAAAGAATGAATAGTAGTTTGTAAATGTTTGTTTTGGTGATTAAAGAGGATGATTAGGAAAAGTTAAACTTTTCTTTGTAACAGACTAGCATTGCTATAGAATTTTTTTGGAGGGGGAACTGCTTTTTATTTTTATGTTCATGAAGGTAAATATCATGAACATAACACTCAGCAAAATGTTCCATTCCTTTCAGTAATCAAACAATTTTTTACAGAAGTAATTTCGTAGATATGTTAGTAATCACTGTTACTAGCAAGCATTTGGCAATTTTGTTGGAATTGGAAAAAACGTGCATTCCTAAACCATTACAAATACATTATGTATGATGGCTACTTTTCAGTCTTTGCATCTAAAATAGCTTGGCTTTAATAAATTTTTATAACCATTATTTTTGTTTTTCTGCAGTCACTCTTGGATGTTGTCTTCTCTTAATTTTTGGAAACATTTTATGCTAGTAATAGTTTTAATGATGCCCAATTCATTTATGTCTTTTAGAATGTTTGGATTTTTACTTTAGATATTTATTTATCATGAGTTAACATGTCTGAATGAAGTTGGAAACATCACTATAATTCATATCTGAATGAAAATATATGAATTATTTTGAAGATTTTAAATTGCTTTTTTTGCCTTAGCAATGTAAAAAATATTAAAAGTATTCTCCAAACTTTAAAAATTTTTAAGGTCTTTTTCAAAAGGTTTTTTTGGGGGGAGGGGGTATTTATTATACATGGGTAATTTACAGAATAAATAATCCAAACGTGGGTAATCAGAATTTTGTACTATTCTGTGTTTAAAATTTCTTTTAAAGTAATATATGGATTTTAAAAGCTCTGTTTTATAGATTAAAGAGTTAATTTTTCTAAAATCGTGTAAAATAAATTTTTATAATTTTCCTATACAATTAATATTGTGTGATGAAAATTTTTCTTGCTGTATAAGTTGTTTTATGTTCAGATAAAATACACTAAATTCATATCGTAGATTTTTAAAGAAATTATAATGTTTCCTCTACCACTGTGCGGAATCCGAGTTCTTTTGTTTTTAGGTTGTAATGGAGTATCTGCCGGGTGGTTCCCTTACAGATGTCGTTACAGAGACTTGCATGGATGAAGGTCAAATATCAGCTGTTTGCCAAGAAGTAACTTAATTATTATTATTATTATTATTATTATTATTATTATTATTGGAAAATTACTATTTTAAGATTAATTTTGTATTTTAAAATTATATATATATATATACAGGGGTTGGACAAAAATATGGAAACACCTTTAAAAAAACATGTTTCTTTGCTTAATATGGTGTAGGAAACCCGTTGGCATCCAAAACAGCTTGCAGTCTTCTCGGAATGGATAAATACAGTTCCTGTATGTTTGCCAAGGGAATTTTATACCATTCTTCCTGCAAAACGGTGGCAAGTTCAGATAACGATGCTGGCGGTGGATAACGAGAACGCACTTTCCGTTCTAATGTAGACCACAAAGGTTCGATAATATTCAGGTCTGGTGACTGTGGTGGCCAGGGGATATGGGACAACTCATCCTCGTGCTCAGTAAACCAGTCCTGGACAATGTGAGCTGTGTGAACAGGGGCTTTGTTGTCTTGGAAGACACCATCACCATCGGGGAACAAAGCTTGTACCATGGGATGAACTTGATCGGCCAAAATGTTCACATAAGTCTTGGCAATCATGTGCCCTGGCACAGTCATCATGGGGCTAGCAGAGAACCACGATATGGCTGCCCAAACCATAACAGAACCCCCGCCATGTTTCACTCTTGGCAACAAGCAATCTGTATTATAGGCTTGAGATGGCATTCTCCAGACGTAAACTCGGCCAGAAGTGGGAAACAATGTGAAAGAAGACTCGTCAGACCATATTACTCGCTTCCACTGCTCTATAGTCCAGGCTTTATGATTTAAACACCACCTTTTCCTGTTACAGGCATTAGCATCACTGATGAGTGGCTTCTCAATTGCAGCACGGCCAGCAATTCCCTGTTTATGAAGCTCCCTTCTAATTGTTTGGTACTCACAGGGTTCGGTAACACAACATTCATTTCAGCAGTAACTTTTGCAGCTGTGGTCTTCTTATTTTTCGTCACAATTGCCCTTAATGATCGTCTGTCACGATCACTCAGGACACACTTTCGTCCGCGCTATGATTTAGCAGATAATGTTTTTCCGCTTTTCAAATATGCGGAATAAATCTTCGATACAGTACCTCTTGAAACACTAAACACCTCGGCTACCTTGCTTGCGGAAGCACCTACCATACGTACTCCAACAATTTGCCCACGTTCGAAGTCTGTTAACTCTGACATAATGCAATGACAACCTCACATAACAGTACTCCGACAACAACTGAACTGTTTAGCACATTTACGAAGTTGTATAGGTGGCGTCAGTAATCAGAAACGCCAGCGCCACCTACATATTTCATTAAAATCAATCTTTCTTTTCAAACATGCATTTCACAAGGTGTTTCCATATTTTTGTCCATCCACTGTATATGTAAAAAAACTGTTTCATTAGATGTAATAAAAAAACTGTGTCATTCTTGAAATAAGACTGCATTATTAGATGAAATAACACTGCATTACATATTGAAATAAGATGATTTGTTGAGAATTGCAAGAGTGGTGTTGGAGATTACTGCGACTTAACTGCGTAATTAGCAAGATGACATTTGAAGAACACACATAACGGTAAATTCCACACATCATTTTATTTTTCAATAATGCACTTTATAGCTGTGGGTGCACTATGCACCCCACAATTTTCTACAGCTCACATTTTAAACAATGGATGAATTTAGAAAAGTAAACTGTGTGTAGCTAGTAGCACAGCCGAAAGCAGCACAAGAAGAGAAGAGGAGGGAGTTGCGGCATAATTAGAATTCCATTTCTTATCATGTGACACTTTAATGTACAGGACTTGGGGTTCAGATTTCATGGGCAAGTGCCATCAGAACTGCAGGGAGTAAAATTTATAGCTGTTATTTTTAGAATGAAATGGAAGTTAAATCGCTATTTAAATATTATTTGAAAGGTAGATTTTTATATTTTGCATATTTTATATTTTACATATATATATATATTTTTTGAAATACTGGGCTGAAATCTGGAAATTAAAATTATACTAGGTGATCAAAACTTATTAACCATTATATTTTTTATGAGTTAATTATGCTACAGTAAAACCTTTCAGGAATGAATGCTTGCTGGTCCTGTAAAAACTGGAATGTTACAAGAGAAAATTTTCTACAGAAGTTATATTAAATATCGATGGAAAAATTAGAACCATTGAAAATGGATGTCAGGTGATTGAAAAGGGTTAGACAGAAGAATGTAGTATATGTATTTTCTTTTCTCGGTGCATGCATTATTGTAATTTTTTCTGCAACTGAATATTTGGTTTTTTTTTATATGCACCTGCATATAAAATTGATTAATAAATGCAAAGTCAGAAATGTAAAGGAATGAACAGCAGATGATAATGATTAAAATAAAAGATAGCAAACTTAAAACACCAAATTTGGAGGAAGAGTTTTTGTTTTATACATTTTTCATCAAGCGAGTTATGTCTTTAAAAAAGGTTGAAATTTTAGAGTGCTTAAATCCCCCCCCCCAAGTATGATTTTCTTTTCAGTTCCCTTCCCCCAATTGCTTCAGCTGCTTATGTATTTTCATAATCTTCATTTTTCAACATTTTAGTACTTTCATCAAGTGTACCAATCTTTTAGAATTTGCTATGCTGTGATAAACAATTGAAATTCTGATAAATAGCCCACCATCTTCGGAATCTTAATAAGTACCCAAAAGGTACAAAAGTCAAGATTTTAGATTTCAATAAAAAAATTTAAAATTTTTATAAAATTATTGATAGTTAAAAAAATAAAAATGACAGTTACTGTCAAGTGTCCTGAACTAGGCTTTCCTCCCAGTTGATGCTAAGATCATGGTACCAGACTGTTTTTTTTTTTTTTTTTTTCTTTGCAAGTTAGATTTTCATGATTCTATTCTTTTATTGCAATCTGATAGAATTAAGTAATCTGTTCTACACAGTTTGATTCATTGAATGAGGAAATTCAGTTTTCAATTTCTCAATTTGAAAAACACTTTTTAATATCTGGTGACAAATTTTAATCCATTCAGCTGTCTCTACACACTGATTTGGTTAGCAAATTCAATAGCATTTATGCATAGCAAATTCAATAGCATTTATGCAAATTTTTTGTGAGCAATTATGGACTTAACATCCATTAACGATATTCTAATTTGAAACACAATAACATTATTATCTTATGGCAGCAAATTAGCAATAGTGCTTAGAAAAAGAAACACGAACTGTGCATGTTTTAGTTCCATAAGGTATTATAATGTGTTACATTGCCCAAAAATGCAGAACATTCTATTCTGTTAGCTCATCTTTCTTTTAAAGTCAACAAGCATTCTGTTGAAAGTGGATGATATCATCCATTTTTTTTATTCCATTTTCACGATATTCTAAAACTATTCTTCCCACTCCCTCATTTGCTTTTTCACATTTAGTTATCAGGCTTTTTGTAGGAAGGACATGGGGGAGGAGGTCCCATCTCATTAATGTAGCAGTTATTTTAGTGAGTGAGTGGGGGTGGGTGAATGAAATTCTGCAATTTTGACATGTTGGTAAGACAATTAAAAAAATTAAACTTTCACACTTAGTTGTGATTTACTCATGTAACTAAGGAATAATTTGGAAAGATAATTTCAGTGACTACATTAAAACACAGAAAACTGAGCTAGTAACAGGTATGAATTCCATAGGCCAATAACCAAAGCAGGAGAAATGATTAAGAGATGCATTCTTCCACTTTCTGATATCATTTCGCACTCCGATGTAACTTTATGTAAGATGGTACCAAATTATGAAAAGAGAGTTGGGCATTTGGCACTGCTTACATTCTTGTTTCTATGTAGATGACTGTTGACGACATAGAGGTGTTTTTAACATACAACCTAAGGGTTAAATACTCAGTCCCATGTAAAAGGATCATTAACAGTTGTGGTTGTTTTGCAGAAGTGGTACTGAGAGAGTTTTCACTGCTTTTTATATATTTGTTATTTATTTTAAAGGAATTGGTATACAAAATTTTCTTTAATCACAGTGTTTTAGGTTCTGTTATAGGTAGTTAACTGACATGAAATATTCTAATTTCTTTTCCATATATATCACAGAAGAAACACAGAAGTACTGTCTGCTATGCTATTGCTTATCATATAGTCACTGCTAATAATAATAAATGTAAAATGAACTATAATATAGCATTATGAATTTCACCTAATTTTGAAAAGCACTTGCTGTATGGCAAACAATGTCACAGTACACAGTGTTTTATATTATATGCCATGATGATATGAATTATGCTACTATGTGTTATGGTGATATGAATTAAGCCATATTAATAAGAGTTAATGAAAAAGGTGTTATAAAAAATGAAAACTATTATTTTGGAGAACTGATGCTTGCAGAGCAATAAATGCTTTTTTGATGCTTCCCTGGTTGCAATGCATATTCCAGATGTTGGCTGCTTCTTTTTGTTTGTTGTGCCAGAGTTGGAAGGAAAGATAACATAATTCAGGAGGGCCATCACCTGTTCTGTATTCTTTTAAATGCATTATTTCTTCATAACTATTCTCTTAGAAGCCCTATGAGAATAGTGATAAAATAAGGGGATTGTCAACAGTTATGTCACATTTTTTTCATTAATTCTGTCTGCTTCATTTTTGTTCTGTGTGCTGTTAGCCCAAATTTCTGCGATTTGACGATTTAATATTTCAGTACCTAATGATGATGATGTTATTTGCAATATAAATGGAGATTTAGAAATTAGTGAGAAAACAGTGTTGAAATCTGAAAGAAGGAAGATAAAACTGGAGGGAAAAGTAACCAGTTGGGGAAAAATTGTTCCATCAAAAGCAGTTTAAAGCTAGAGATATTAATCAATTTATTATAGTAAGGTGGAGTTATTAATTATTAATATTTTATGATGTATTTTAAATTTTCATGGCTAGGGGAAAAATTGTTCCATCAAAAGCAGTTTAAAGCTAGAAGATATCAATCAATTTATTATAGTGAGGTGGAGTTAATTATTAATATTTTATGATGTATTTTAAATTTTCATGGCTAGGGCTGTGATTTTATTGGAGGGGAAGTAAAATTCACAAGGATGTAGCATGGTAAATTGCAATTCTTACAACTTTTCTCTTCTTCTTCAATGCCTCGACAGCCCTGGATAGGCCCTGACCTTCTCCAGGCATCTCTACTTTTGGCAACTGTTTTCCAGTTTTTAATCTTTAAAATGTTAACATCTTTTTTGACACAATCAATCCATATTAGCAGGGGTCTGCCCCAAGGTCTATTTCCCATGGGCTTTGCTAGAAAGATTATCTTGCAGCAACAGACTTCATTCATTTTAGCCATATGGCCAGCCCGTTTAAGTTTCTGTAATTTAACAAATTTTACAATATCAGGTTGTTTGTAAATTTCATAGACTTCTAAATTAGATGATCTTCTCCATGATCCATTCACTTGGACCCCACGAAGAATGCAATGTAATTAATATCTTTCACTCAAAAATTCCCAGAGCTTCCTCATCATGTGAAGTCAGTGCCCAAGTCACTGATGCATAAGTCAAGACAGATCTTTTGTAAAGTATCAATTTAGTTTTTAATAAGGGAGATGGATTTTAAATAATTCTTCAGAGCATAAAAACATCTATTTGCAGCAATGATTCTTTTATGTATTTCTGGGACCAACACATTTTAGTATTTATCTCAGTTCCCAGATAAGTAAAACTTTTTTTTTTTTTTTTTTTTTCAAATTTATATTTGCATTTATATTTGCCATATTTTAAGTTACTAAGTTGTAAGTCAGACTTTAAGCAAGATAAATATTTAGTTTTATTTTTTTTATTTTCGTTTACAAATAAATTAATTCTTTTAGCACTTTGTTCCAATGCCATAAATGCCTATTTGAGAGCCACTCAGTTTGGGCAATAATGCCAATGTCATCAGCATAAGCCAGTATTTGAACTGAGTAAAAATATTTCCTTTAATATTGATCTTTGAGTCTCTAATAACTTTTTCAAGTGCTATATTAAACAGGAGACATGCTAATACATGCTCCTGTCGCACTCCATTTTTAACCGGAAGCTGTTCTGTGTAATCACCCTGTATGCATACTTGAATTATGGTGTCTTTGAGAGTCCAGGCTACAAGTGCAACAAGTTTTTCTGGAATTTTCAATTCATGCATAGCTTTTATGAGAAGTTCTCTGTTAGTGCAATCATATGCTGTTCTAAAATCGATAAAAAGATTGTGAGTCTTGTTTCCAAATTCTCTACATTTTTCAAGGATCTGTTTTAAGTTGAAAATTTGCTTAGTTGTAGATCTTCCTTTCCTAAATTCACATTGATAGTCACCTATCAAGTTATCAAGAAACGACAAAAGTCTGTCAAAAGGAATAGTAGACAGAATTTTATAGGATGTGCAAAGAAGACTGATTCTTCTCTAATTGCTAGTCTAGCACGTCACTCCTTTTTTTTTTTTTTTTTTTTTTTTTTTTTCTGTGTGTGTGTGTGTGTGTTTATGATGGAAATGGTACTATGTGTTCAGTCCGTTGAGAGTATAATTGATATATACATTGATAAATTAATCAAATTCTGAAAATACACTGTTCATCAAAATTAAAGGATAATAGGATAATGACAGAAATAAAGTGTAATTACTTAATGAAAAATTATTAATATAAATATGTACAAAAGATTTAGTTAAAATAAATTGCAATGTTTAGCAGTTGATTATTTGCAAAATACTGAAATTAAAATCAAATTTATAAAAATTGGAAAGTAACAAAAAAATTGTCACCTCTCTTAGAATATTTTTTCTTTAATATGATGCTTTGGACAGATATGCATTAATTGTATTTTGATTTCATAGACCAAAGTGTTGATTAAGTCTTGTAGAATTGTCACCCCTCTTGGAAAAATGTTTCTCTAATAGGGTGTATGGTTGCTTCGGACAGATATGCGTTCATCGTATCTTGATTTCATAGACCAAAGTGTTGATCAAGTCTTGTGGAATTGTACGCTGTTTTTCTAAAAGAGCACTTTTCAGAACTTTTCCTGAAGGTTCCATGAAGCAATGTGGCATGCTGAAATTTGGTGCTGTAATACATCCCTCAGAAGC